GTCCAGAGTTCAGGAAGAAGGATCCTACTTCTCAGAAGTCTCCGAAGAGTTAGTATATAATACATGTAGATTTTATGGCTCTCTGTTTTGAGTCAGTACTCTTCTCCCTTCCATTGGCCTAGATTTAAAAAAGGCCTCACTGGGTCTTTTTGATCTTCAAATGAGGGCCTAACCATCCCCCCCACCCCCATTCTTGGCAGTGAAGGGAACAATGAAACAAGTGTTGAGGAACCTATGCAGTTTGATCCCTGGGTAAGTGAAGTTTGCAGTGGTGACCTAAGACACTGATGTGACATCAGAAGACTAGCCACAGTAAGTTTTGGAAAGGCTGCACCACTCTCCAAAACGATGCCAACTAATGGCAACAAAAGGCCTATACAGCAAGAGATCTGGCTAAGGCTCCATATGGGAAAGGGAATTAGCTCTTTTAAGGATGCTTCTTGATCCTGAGAAATCTCTTTACTAGAAGCTGCATAAAGCTATTCAATTGCTTGGTCCAGGCATAAAAGCAGGTACAGAAGCCTGGTGAACTGGTTGTTAAAGCTCTATGTGGCAACAGCAGCTGTAGGCAGAATTTATTTAAGGTGTAATACATCAAGCTTACTTACTATCCACAAATACAACTTGAAGCACTTCACTCTTGGTTGCGTGCGCAGGGGCAGCAAGCTATCTGCTAGACCTGAAGAGGCCCAGAATTCCTAGAAGGCAGGATAGATTTTGATGTGATGAACAACTTAAGGTACACAGGGAAGACAGGTCAGTTTGAGAGAACCGAGATTTTTCTTTTAAGTAACTTTAGTCTCTAACACATCACATAAGGCTCTACTCAACTAGCTCACCCAAGTTTAATTGGCCACCTGCCCCCAGGGCCTGACCCTGCCCTCTCCTCCACTGGCTTTTTGTTTTACTGATTTTACTCAAGTCCCTTCAGTTCCCAGCTGTTTCCTCTAATTTCACCAGCTTCCCCCGCCCGCTCTCCTCTCCTTTCACTTTCTCTCTCCTTTCTTTCAGCAGTGAAATGCTCACAGCAGATGGCAAATAGGCAATCCAAGCAGGTGAAAATGCTTCCTGAGCACCAGGTATAAGCAAAGCCCAGAACTAAGCATTGTGGGGGTTGGAATACATTGTTTCTGTCTTAGTAGTTTGCAGTTTAGATGGAAAGGCACAATATGATCATTCTCCACATATGGAAGAATATTTTGTACTAATTTACTAAAACTAAATTAATAATATGGCACAAAAAAAATCCCTTAGTAATGGCTTCTTAGGAACACGAGGATTTTCTCTTTGCAATCAGAACTGGTAACTTTTATTTCTACAATAATTCTAGTGCCATTGTCTCCTTCTACATAATCCATCTAGCGAAACTCATGCTGAAGCCTGAGGAAACCCTGACGTGTGCTCTACACACAAGTTTATTTAGCCGAGACAGTTACTCTGATCACTCAAGAAAAACATACGGAAGAAGGGTCCAAACTGGTACTATAATCTGTGATTAGCTCTCTCATCAGAGAAGAGCTGAGGAAATTCAAAGGAGGCTTGACTATTACAGGGTAGGTTTGGGATTTGTTCCAGTGATCTTAAAACCACAGCTTGTGAGAGAGAGGATGGAAATTCACCTGGGAAAAGAGGGAGGAGGGAAAAAAGGGGTACAAGTTCAACATCCGAAATCATTACTGTTTACACTCCTCTCCTACTAAATTAAAGATTTAAGAGCCCTGATAAAGAGTCTTAGAGATAGCATATGGATGATAAATAGCTCAGATACAGCCCCCAATTCAGGTTGTGCCGAGAATTCCAACCTCGAGTGACACAGTAAAGATCTTGAAAGGCCGGCGAAGATACCTCAGTGACTAACTTGTGTGTTCACAAAGGATTCTAATTAGCTTGAGTACAAAACAAAACCTGCCTAACAGGGATTCTCTCCTTAGAAAAACAGCTTATGTGTTGAACCAGCCCAGAACTATTACAGGGAGTTTGCTATTCCAGTTAACAAATACTTACTGAGCACCTATTAAATGTTGGGAACTGGACTAGTTACTGGGGATATTTCTAAGGATCTCCTCCGGTGGGGAAATCAAGACTTATGAAGTAAGGGTCAAAAGAGGGCAAGAGCTTCTCTGAGAGCTGGCTGTGCACTGCACACTGGAAAGCCAGGAAGCTAAGCATCCCACTTTCTTGCTGATGGGCTCTGGGCCATAGTCACTGTGACTAGATTAACTCCTGCTTTGGAACAGCCGCCAGCTCCCAGGATAAAAACATGGACCAAACACAGCACCATGGGACACCCTGGTGGCATCAGGTAGATATTACAGGCGTCGTTCACTTGAGTCCAACTTACCATCCTCCCTCTAAGAAATTCCCCACTTCAAAAAGCAAATCTGAATTCAAGTTCTGGCCCTGCTACATTAATATCTCTGAGCCTATTTCTTCAAGCTGCAAGATGAGACAAATACCATTCAAGGATCAAAATGAGTCAGTATTTTGTAAACAAAGAACCACTTTCATTAAGAATGACCAGTCAACAGCCTTGCAAGCATTTTTCCTCTCAAAATTTCCATGGTTAAAAAGGGCAGAAATGACATGGGCCCTTGAAGTTACCACTCTGGGAATAAGCCCAATCTGACTGGAGGCGCACACTGCCATCTCAGATCTAAACTATGCAGCACATTGTCTAGGATTCTATTAGCATGCTTACTCATTCCTGAACATAATATATATACTTAAATTAAGGTGTGGGAACAACCATACTGGGGTAGCATGTAGCTTGGGGAAATAGAACATATTCATGAAGTGACTACTGAAGAGCTCAAAGGCAACGTGTGTGCATTATATGCCTATATAAATATGCTGAATAAAAGCAAATCAGAATGCATTAGTCCAACAATGTTTGAATTAGCCTTTAGCTGATCATGAAGGGGTGGAATAATTTTTAATTGGGGTGATTGTAGGTTTTTTTTTTTTTTTGGCGGTGGAGGGGGGAGTGTTAAATACACACATGCCAGATCACTTCAGCCTAGAGACCAGGGTCAGGGTCTTGAGAGTCATGAAGACTCTTTCCCAACTCAAGATGACGACATGCTATCCATTCTTTTCACTCTAAACAAATCCTTATGTATGAATTCCTTTATGGATAACTCCTAAGAACCAAAATGATTCAACCCCGATGAGAAATCTGCAGTGATCCTCACTGTGGCAAGACCACGAAATTCACAGGTAATTCAAAATTTCCTCTGAAATAACCAACTTTAAGGAAAAATGACGGAAAAAGACCCAGAAAGCAGCAGCAAGAGGGAACTGCTCTCATCCTTAGGAAACAATGGCATGGATTCTTCATGATCTGGACTGAAGGAAGTGTGCACAGATTACCACAAAACATAACTTTCTTTTTGGACAACATTTACTTTTCCAATTAAACTTAGCATAGGCTAACATTTAATCTGCATTTCCTGGCTTCATATCTGAGGAGAAATTACTGGATACAATGTGAGGATTAAAAGACGTTCTCTAATAATCCACCTACAGTTAGCCAAGTTTGTGAAACAGATTTAAGACTATGCATTTAAGGAGTACTAACTTCTCATCTTTTGCCAATCAATATTTATTAAACTGTGTTAGCATTGCATTTGGCTCATTGGGGAATACAAATGTTACAAAAAATACATTAGGTACAAAGAATTAACATATACAAAGCATTCATACGATACACTGCGGGGAGATTAAATAAAAAAATGAGCATGGTCAAAACAAGGAAGATGCAATTGGGCATAGTGATAAATTACAAAGGTAGAATACAACCCCATCATTGATTCATATTACTGGATTGACATGGTTAATGTTTTAGGAAGATCAGACTTGAACAATTTATAGGATGGCCAGGATGAAGTTAAGAGCCTGGAGTCAGTGAAACCAGCTAAAATACTTGAGCAATGAATTTGGGTGCACAGACAAGGATACCAGTATGGCAAATGGAGACGGAGACTAATCCAAGAGGCATTTTGAAGAACTTTACCACCTAGTTCTGAGACAAGGAACAATTTTTAGTTTTCTTTGTTGTAGTGTGCTGGTACTACTAACCAACATTTTTACATTTCTATTCTTAAGAGATAGATGTCACTCTTGGTTTAATATTTCAGCTGAAATGTCTAGGCATGTCTCTGTAAGGGTAGAAGAAATTCAGCCCAGGGCTTTCCAGTCATATTTAAAAGCTGTAGTCTCCCTGTGTTTAATGCTGCAGCCCTTTCCAATGTATCAGACCCTAATAATTGCTGTAACCTGAAAGCTTATCTCAAACTTACACGTAAGGGCTCCCTTTATACCCAGCACTCAAGGAACAATTCTGCTATGCCTTCTGACATTTTACCAATCTCAACGTTTAGCCCTTCTTTGTTATAGAGAGAATTCTGTATCTTCATTTGTACAATCTGTGGCTTCACAGTGTCTCTTCACAACAAGAGACACAAGAGCTAACATGTTTAGGATTAAAAACAAGCTTAATCAATCTACTGCTCTTTAGTGCTCTCAACACAATTTGCAGCAAGGATGCTGGTAAGCAACTGCCTTCTGCAGCCTCACTTGTTAACATATAAGTCTCAGCAGGCAGGGAAACTCCTATTATATAAACTTGATAGATTCGTTGTTCTCCCCTGGAAACATACCTTTATTTGTCCACTTTTAGTGTCTTATTCTTCAAAATAGACAATTTCTAATATTCATGTTTAAAAGCAAATGTTCCCATGCCTATCTTCTTTGATGACTAAATCCAACAAACCTTGTTAATACATTATTCTTAGTGGCAATTTATACTTCAAACAGGAGGCAAGTTTGTATCCTTTCCACTTTCATATGTGAAGATGGGGGAAAGGAGATGATGACAAATGCTAAAGTGTTAATTCCCAATAATTTTCAGTTATCTTTTTAAAAATAAAAGGGCATTAACACGTCAAGAAAACTGTGTCTTAAAAGTAAGTTGATTTCGTCTTTTCCATGACCAATTTTAGGCCTAGGGTTTTTTTTTTTTTTGTACCACACCTATTCCTGTACCCAATTCTCACTCCTGGCCTTACTATCCATACCTGGAGATGTACAAGGTAAGCAGAAAAACAAGCAGATTCACATCTTCAGCATTTTCTCCAAAGTCCCAGAACCTAGACATATTTTTCTGATTTATAAATGTTGAGTACCCATGATAAGCTCTATTTGAAACCTCATTGGAACAGAAGCTTAAAAGGGGAAGATTTTGCCCAACAGATGGGAAGTTAGAGGCAAAGTTACAGGAAGTAAACCATCAAAATCATCTCACTCTGCAGCTGGCATAAAGGATTAAGGTAGCTGGTCTCCACCCTCCTCTATGGATTAACAGGAATGACTTTCTGGTTGCTTTTGTATCATATAGCTCCCTCTAGTGGTTAAGTGATTTCCCTAGCATTTACTCCACTAGGATAGTAAACTATCAACATTGTAAAAAAATTTCATTAGACATTTGGCAATCTTACAAATTGTTTTAAAAATTTCAGGGTCACTATAAATCTGAATCAACTCAATGGCAGTGGGGTTTTTTTCTCCTGTAATATAGTATCCTAGAAAAACTCTCAATTTCCACTATCTTCTTGTTGATAGGAACAGAAACAATCTCCACTTTGTCTTAAGTGTTTTAAGACTTCTAAAGCTGTAATGGTGGCAGGAGTTACTTTTTTAACCTGATGCTTGGGTGTACCTCCTTTACACTTTTTAAGAGATTAGAAAACAAAACATCCAGGATCTGCTGAAGTGTTTTCATCTGTGTTTTGCTTATCTACCTACATGATACCCTTATGAAAAGTTATGTTTGCCTTTTTCTCTCCTCAGTAACCTGGCCTAACACCTATTAAAATACTGTCAAAATTATGAGATTATTTCTGCCTAAATTAACTTCTGTATGACAAGCCTAATTAACTGAAATTATTTTCTGTGTACTAGAGAAGCACCAAGGGATTTTTGTAGTAAGAAGTTCTTCCCCTCAACCCCTACAAACTCATAACCACTTTCAGAATTGTCAGGCACAGCTTTCAAAGCTAGCAAGATGCATTCAAAGTTCTGAATCACAGGAACAGATGCTACTTTAAGTATACTGTAACTTCTTGGGCCTATATTTATAGCAAGTTATGTAGAGATGTTTCCTTATAATCCCTCTTTACTTTATGCCAATCCCAGTTTTTTCTCTAAGATCAGATTGGTCAATGTTCCTGCAAAGAAAGTACTGAAATGAATACAGAGTATTTCATTGTCTATTTTAGGATGGCTGAATATTTCCTTCAATGGAGTACATTTATTGTGAATCCACTAGACCAACAAAATAAAAAATGTGGGTCATACCTTTTTGTCCTGTGACTGCTTGAGCCTAAAAAGATGAGGAACTTAAATCTCAATAAACGATCCACAGTAACAGGTCTGTTTTTACACATACACCCAAGATTACATACAGAAGCATAAGCCCTGGGTATTCCAGTACAATTCTACAATCCCTTATCCGAACACTTGAGGGCAGATGTATTTGAAATTCAGAGTTGTTTGCACTTTATACACCCTGTTATGTAACAGCCTCAGCAATGTCTGCAGCAGCAGTGTAATGAAACACGTATTTCTGCAGCATAATAGCTAGTCACAGTTAAATGCAAAATGGGGATGCCGATTCTGCTCAGGTTTTACACAAAATTAATTCAACAACAATAAATCTTTGCTTTCATTTGCTGGATTTCAGAATTGTGGATAAGAGATTGTGAATCATTTCCTGTGTTGATACTCTTTGTACTACTATAATGGAAACAGGTTAAACCACAGGGCAGTTGTGCTACAACAGTACTTTAGTTGAATTAAAAAATGTCTCCCCTTTTAATACTATTTGATAAATATACACACACAACTTACTTCATTACAAATTTCATACACAAAGCAAAAAGGCACACATAGAAACATTCACCTTGGATTCAACCTGAAAACATCACCAGTCCCAATGACCAAGACATGTTCAACCGACAACTCTCAAAACTGACTCTAAAATCATATTGAAGCCAAGCACTATGCTATGTGGCTATATGACCACTTAAAATTTAAATATAAAATTTTGGGAAAAAACATTTTAAATGAGGGGAATCTGTTTACATTCCAAACAGTATTTTTAAAATATTAAACTTAGCTTTAAAAATAAAATTCAGATCCCAAACAATTAGGAATCAGAAAATGAGTCTTACCTTTTGTTTCCAGAAGGATGTGGACTGAACAGCAAGATGGGTTTATTCAATCTGATGTTATGAAAAATAATTGCTTCTTAAAAGAGACTTAAATTTCTCCTTGGTTAGAAAATAACTAATTATAGGCTCCCTAAAATATTCTAAAGGAACATAAACAGGGAGAAAAGTGGAAGGACTTTTGTAGTTCCAAAAGGGCATGCCTTTCTTCTAATAGCTTCCAATACAGGTAGAGATCTATGGTTCATTTCCTAAGAGACTATAGGAGCAGAAGCCCGGTCACCTTCCCTGCAAAACCTATGCCCCTCTACCTTTCATAAATATGCATTAAGCTCTAACCTTCAAACCGCTATGAGGCGAAGAGTACTTTTTATTTTAACCTGGGACTGCAACTACTAAAACTTTTCGTGTGAGGGCATCTTTCAATTTAGCTTAAATACACTCAACCTTGAGTGAAGATCATTTTCATTTTGTTTCTAAAACACTCAATGAACACAAATGACCTGTCTAGGTCACATTAACTTTCCCATTATTCTTTCAGTCACCTGAAAGAAACTAAAGCATATCATGTGAAATTCTGAATTCAGAAATTTAACTTTTAAATAGTAAATCTTTCTGCTTCTTGGCTGTATCTTTACTTCTTAAATCAACACCAGAAAATGACTTCCTTACTGAATTTATCAGTGTGTGGAACCTTCTCTTCCTCCTGACATTCCACAAGGTTTATTCAAATATATGAGTTGGCTGACTTCATGCAGATTTTTCTTGGGGCCCGTTTCAAAATTAATTCTGGTTTGTCTAGGTTTGAAATGATCACCTAAACAATCTTAAATTCAGCGTCCAACTATATGATTAAGCATTCAAGGGGTGTTAAAATTCAGTTATTCCTCTTGGTACAGATAAGTGATTTGATGATTTTGACTATCTATCCAAATATCAGAAAAAAAAAAAAAAAGACATTAGGAATTTTAAGTAAAACTCCCATCAACAATTTGAAAATTTAGCACCAAGCAGCTGTTTAGTACAGATAACAAAAACAAACCACAAGATATAATCACTACTTTGATATGTCTTGGGTATAGAATTACCTTATGCTTCAGCAAAGTTTACAAGGCAAAACTCTAAAGAATGGTCAGCTTTTTTAACGATTCAAATTAGTTTTCTAGTGCATCATTCACATTTCACAAGGGAAATGTGACGTGTTAACCGTTCAAATAGATCTGCGCTAAATTAACATTTAATACTTACCAATTTTTGAGGTAAGTTTCAGTCAAAAGCTCAAATGCTATTTCCAAGCTACATTAATTTACTAGTCACCACCCAATTTTGCACAAATGCCTATATTGTCTACATGATCACCCAAAATAAATAGTATTTGTAAGTCTTTAATCACTATCAAAGGGAAATTTATCTTTCAAAGACCACCCCATTTACCCCAATAGTAGTCTTATTCCCACACCTTTTATCTTTCCCTGAAGACTAACAATTAACAGTAAAAGGTGCCTAATACCATTTATTAGAGATTGCCTTTCAAGAACCTTTACTAACACATAAATGGTGTCAGACCCTATCCTACTTATCAATTTAAAGCATTAACTGATAAAACTAGTCACCCAATTAAAATCACCTTACATGAAGAGGAAAAAGGACAACCATGCATAGTTTTTAAAAAAATGTTTATTTTTTCAAAGAAAAATGGCAATAGCCAATTGGAAACCTACTTATTCTTCAACTCCAATTTTGTTTTGTTTAAATTTAGAAGTGACTTACTGATTTACTATTTTAAACAAACCCCCCCTTTTCCCCTTTAAATGTTTACCATCTACTCGTGCTGAATCCTTCCAAGGAGATTGCTCCAGCGTATATCTCCAGGTCCTCGCTTTGCTCCTTTTACCAAAAATTGCAAAACACAATTCCATCGTGCATCTTAAGGGCTCCAATCGTCAAAAATAGGAAAAAAGAAAAATCTTTGGAATAGCCAATTAAGTTGAATAAAAAAAAAAAAAAAAAAAAAATCCACACGAATGCGGTTTGGTTGGGGCAGGAATCCACTCCTATGTTCCTGGTAATCTGATCCCGCTCCATGAATCCTTGTAATTCATCCTCCCTATCCTATCCACATTATGATTTGAATCCAATGATCCAGCTCCAAGGATTGGGATCCAGTGAGCCCTCTCCAATCCAAACCTTTATAACCAGCAAAACCAAAAAAGAGGAGGCAAAATGTTAGATACTGTAATCAAAAAAGGTTTCTGGGGAATGATGAGTTATGTCTGTCATCAGTTTAACAGATGTACATCAATAACTATCAAATTCCCCAAAACAAGTTTCTGAATGGCGTTCAGATAAATTTTAGAAACTTAATCATTATAGAGACTAATTGGAAGAAGCATTTTATATTTACAGTTCAACTGATAATGCCAACACTTGTTACTGTACAGCGTATTACAGGTTTTGTGGTTGCAAAAAATTATGTAGTTGAAAAGTTTACTGGTACTACTACCCACCTAAGTCTAAACTAAATAAAGCTCCCATCTGCAATTTAACTTGTAAATTAAAGTGTTTTAAACATGAATCAATTATGAATATTAGTTTAAAGGGAAAAGTGAGACAAAGTATTCCCATCTAGATTATCTACACCAATATGCTGGAATTCTATTTTGCTTTCATTTTGTCTTAAAAAAAAAAATGAAATAGCAATGCTCTATCAGTCACACAGAGGACATGCAGATTTAGCAGTATTGATATTATACTCTATCTGGTTGGAATTAAAGACACCCTGTACCCACATGTACACCAACAGCAGGTCACACATTAACAGTTGTAACTAAGCACTATGACAAATTAGCCAGTTCTTCCCACATTAGTCCCTATTAAAACAAAAAAAAGGGGAAAGGAGCAAAATATATTACAAAATGGACAATGTAATTTTGCCACAATTGCCAAGGTATGAAGAGCAAAGCAATTGTAGCTAAAGATAACTGCATAAGATGTTTGCAAGTGTTTTAAAGTAGATGTATATAATCATTTTTAATCCTTGTTTTTTAGTATAAGGTCAATACTGCCAATTTCATCTGTGACAATAGCACTTGGAGTCATACCATTGCCTCCATTATTGATCTGATCCTCCTCAATCCTCCTTTTGACAATCCTAAAATGATTGAAATGTGCTCCACAATCCTTAATCCAAAGCATTCTTAATCCATCTCTTCAGATATGTCTACAGAAAGACACATGAAAAGGCAAGATAAACATAAGAACTTCCCCAGGTAAGATAACCACAAACACCCCCAACATCCCAGTTCACACAAACCAGAGAAGAATAGACATTTACACAATATCACAGTCTGAAGAGCATGGAGAATTAACTATAAATTTAAACAATCCTGTCTATGACATCACTTAAAATACAATTTACCAAAGACATGAGGGGAATGTAGATGTTAGGAGCAAGGGGATATTACACAAGAATGCAATTCAACATTTTAGCCCATTCTGAACAAAACAGTTTGAATTAAAAAATGAAAAGATTGTACTGAGTAAAGGAAAACTGTATACAACATAGGTTCTACAAAAAGTGTCACCAATCATCTTATGTACGAGAGCGAGATCTGCTATGACGGGGAGAATAGCGTGGTGATCCTCTGCTTCTCCTTGGGGAATAACTGCGACTCCTGCTGTTGCTTCTGCTACGGCTCCTGCTACGACTACGGCTTCGAGATCGAGATCTTCCGTAACTTGGACTTCTGGGCCCATCAACTTTAACCCGGATGTAGGCAGTTTCTCCCTATTGGATAGACAGAACTTTCCATTGAAAGATCTAAGTTTTCACCTATCTTCAGGCATGCTGAATGAATACAATGTAACTAATACCAGAAACCTGGTACTTTACTTGGACACCCTTGCCTGAATCCTTACCTTCAAATTCCACTGTTTAAGACCACTGTATCCAATTCTGGCCAAAGAAAAGAATTAAGTGTATAACCTACCTCATGAGATCTAAACTTAGTGTTATCCAGTTTTCGAACTGCATAGGTCATATCTTCTTTCCGTACAAACTCCACGACACCAGTGCCATCTCGGTAAACATCAGCATAACATACATCACCTGCTTCACGCATGTGATCCTTCAAATCTTGCCAGCTTCCACTTGGAGGCAGTCCTGAAAAGTGATTCATATTTTTTTCAATACTAAGTACCCCAAATTTCACATTAAATATATAGTGTATGCTACAGCAAATACTTACATGAATGTACTTGAAAGACTCAGAACCCGAAATTATTTACAAAGTGAAGATCTTCATATACTAGTGCTTTAATCTTATTTGGTAAATTTGCATTACGGTTATACTGGCTTACTAAACTCACGCAGAAAAGTAAAGTAACCTAAGACCTGGCATAAAATTTGCGATTGTCAAACCAGCCATGCAAGGAAAACTTTTAAGTAGTTTTTTTTCCCTTTTCTCATAAACCCATAAAAGCAATAAGCTTACCAGAGACAACCACTCTGTTTTCAGACCGCCTGGATGGTGGGCCATAGCGGCCTCGGGGAGCTCCGCCGCCTCCACCCCCGCCGCCGCCTCGGCCAGTGCCACGGCCGCTGCGAGGAAACTCCACCCGCAGACGGTATCCATCGTAATCATAGCCATCGCGACCGTACACCGCATCTTCCGCGTCTCTGCGTGATCACAGAAAGCAAAAGGCATGAGAAAAGGAAGAGGAAGGCGAAACCTAACTCAGTCGGGACGTAGCGCCCCACCACCCCCCGCACATGCGCACCAAGGGCGAAAGAGCCCACATGCGCTACATAATAGGAATGGCCCCTCCCCCACCCAGAAGCACGCCAGGCTCTCGACAACTACACCAGCCCTCGGCGCCTCAGTTTCCCACTCCAAGCCCGCAAGTCGGCTCCGGGGATGTCCAATGGGCCCAGCCACGAGAGAAGCCACACCAACTCGACTCCTTACTTAACTCCTGCATAGGCGATAACGCCTCGCCCCTCTCAAAAAACCTGTCCTAACTACTCCAACCTATTTCCTTAAGACTGCAAGCTCCATGCCGCCTCACCGCGGGTCCTCGAACTCAACGAAGGCGAAAGGCGGTCCCCCGCGACGATTCTTGAGATCGATGTCGCGGATAGCGCCGTATTTGTAGAACACGTCCTCAATGTCCTTGGTTCGGATGTCTGGAGGTAAGTTACCCACGTAGATGCGGCAATCGTTGTTCCCTGCCGGGCCACGAATCACACCACCTCCTGACATGGCGGCGACGAAGAGCGGCGACGAAAAGCGCGGACTCGAGAACAGGCCTTCCCACCAAGCTTAGCGCACCTCAGAGCGAGCCCGCAGCGACACCACGTCTCCCGCGGCCCCTCCAAAATGGCGCCTTTATCTGCTCGGCGCACGGATATGGGGGAGGGAGAAAGAGAAGCGGGAGGAAGCAGCTATTTGATCTCAATACGCACGCGCACGTGCGTAACGGACGCAGCTGAACGAGACGCATACGCATGCGCGACGTGACCCTCCGCACGAAGAGAAAAAAGTTCCCGCGTTCCCGACCTGCGGAGCGGTTTGCCGGTGGGGTGATCAGTTGTGTGATTAAAACTTAAATACAGAACACTCCTTAAAGGGGCTGTTGATGCCTGTCGGGTCGTCAAGGATAGTCAGTGTCTCCAGGAATGAGCTCCTTTTGAAACATTTCGGCGCCTTGCATGGACGCGGTGAAACCTAGCCTAGAGTATTGCCCCACAATGCTCCGCGATGGTAACGGCCTTTGGCGGGAAAGACTCGGGGGCGGGGCCAAAGGGGGACGGACCGGCCAGTAGTTCCGGAAACGGGCAAGAGTGCGCCTAGTCCAGGAGTTGCGATGCTGGGGATTCAGTAGAGAGCTACGGCGTACGTAGTAGCCTTGCTGTCCCGCCCCATTGCTTGCAGATAGGCCATGAGCTGTTTAGACATGTGTCTAATTTAGGAGAGTGCAGTTAAGATTTCTTAGTAAATATTCTGCATTAAGTATCGTTCCACCTTCGGTTCAGAACTTTGTATAGCTCAATTCAACATGCCAAGTGTTAGCAGCGGTAGGTCGTGGATCGTACCTTGATCAATCATGGGTGGTACCTGCCAACCAGGAAGGGTGTCAACCACCGTACCGCCTCTCACTGATGGCCTGTTGCTGGGCCTAGCGGAGAGGAGCAGCGAGGCTCGTGAATACTTGTAGAATGAATTGTGCTTGTCATCTCTCCTACTCCTTTTAAAGAGCGAGAGAGAAAAAGTATTTGTGAAATCTTGAAGTTAATCCCTTTTTCAAATTTTCCCCTACAAGTTAATTACATGCAAGGTTTTTGAACTCATTCCCAGGCCTCTTAGATAAAGTAAATGAGAACTGTGACCATTGGAGACCACAGTTGCTGGGACTGTGATCCTGCTTGCATGCTGGTTCAGGGAGACAGCTTTTTACGTTTTTCTAGAGACGTCTGAAATCTGGATTTTTATGTGAAATGTTGGGCTTTTTAAAATGTTGGCAATAAATTCAAATATAAAAAGCCTTGGAGTCATAAATATGCTAAAAGAGATCTACACTCAGAGTTTAAGGATAATTTTCTTCATATTATGTATGTATTTATAACAGCTCCTCTCCCCGAGGATGCAAGGCAGCTTACAGAGATACCATAAAACTGGATGAAGAAGTCAGGGGAATGGGAAAACAAGGGGATGGGGGATTAAGATGAAGTGCTGGATAAGGTTAGTACACAAAATGTCTGCAGTAAGCGTCTGCAGATGGACTAGAAGATGGACTGCAAATTTCACTCTGGTCTTCCTAGAGACCACAGTAAAGAAGGGAAGACAAGTATTTTCAAAATCCAAAGTGCCTTTGAGATAAAAATAGATTAGTTGTACAGGAGAAGGGCATGTTTTCTTAATTCAGATGTCTCTTAGTGATCTGAAAACACAAATTTAATTTGAAATACTTGAGCAGGAATGCTTACTCTGGGTCTGTAGATCCTCAGCAGATCTATAGAGGACCTTTAGCAGTCCTTGAACGGTTTGTGATGATTTCCAAAATTATGTGTATGTGTGCATGTACTTTTTTCAGGGGAGGGGATTTGACATTTTAATCAGGTTCTTAAAGGGGCCCGTAGATATAAAAAGGGGAAGGAACCTGAAATTTTAGAGGAAAGGATAGATTGTCTATCCTTCAGGCTGTCCTTCAACTATATATATATATATATATATTTTATGCTTTACCTTTTTTTTTAATTGTTGTGGTTTAAGTGAAAGTTTATAATTCAAGTTAGAGGGAAAAGAGTAAGAAAGCTGATGGAAACGTGATGCTCCTGAAGTTTTTCCCGGGACATGACATATGTCACTTCGGTTTCTATTCCTACCCCCTCCTTTTTTTATTGTTGTGCTTTAAGTGAAAGTTTACAATTCAAGTTAGTCTCTCCTACAAAAATTTACATATACGTTGTTATGTGACCCTAGTTGCTCTCCCTGTACTGTGACAGCACACTCCTCCTTTCCACCCCAGATTTCCGTGTCCATTCAACCAGCTCCTGTCCCTCTCTGCCATCTCATCTCGCCTGGACAGGAGCTGCCCATTCAGTCTCATGCATCTACTTGAGCTAAGAAGCACACTCTTCACAAATATCATTTTTTGTCCCATAGTCCAGTCTAATCTTTGTCTGAAGAGTTGGCCTTGGGAATGGTTTTAGTTTTGGGCTAACAGAGAGTCCGGGAGCCAAGTCTTCCACGGTCCCTCCAGTCTCGGTCAGACCATTAAGTTTGGTCTTTTTACTAGAATTTGTGTTCTGCACCTTACTTTTCTCCTGCTCTGTCAGGGACTCTGTTGTGTTCCCTGTCAGGGCAGTCATTGGTGAAAGCCAGGCACCATCTAGTTCTGATCTCAGGCTGACGAAGTCTCTGGTTTACGTGGCCCTTTCTGTCTCTTGGGCTAATATTTTCCTTGTGTCTTTGGTGTGCTTCATTCTCCTTTGCTCCAGGTGGGTTGGGACCA